ATAGAATAGATAGAACATTAGGAGACACTGTACAATATGTGTTACTTTATCACCCTCTTGTGGCCACTTGTGGAGTTATTATTTTTTTAAAAAAAATTGACTTCAGAAACTCAGGATAATCAGCCAAGTACCTGCTTAATAACTTGCCCGAAAGACCACCAGAGTAATGTCTTCCTGTTGGAGGTTTGTTTAGTTCTAACTCCATTTGCCTTCTGGAAGAAGTTGGACTTTTCTGAAGTGGGGTATGAAACAGTCTTAATCGTTACTAGTGGGTTTTAGTTATTTTAATTATTGTGTTTTTAGATATTGTATTTTAGATTTTGTATTATTGTATATCTTTTTTTTAAAGCCCTGCATAGATTATTTAGCTTGTGGTAGGGTAGAAAGTAGACAATTTTTTCACACAGACACATGGATGCTCCTTGTGGCCATTTAGATGCTTCTTGGGATGTTCATGACTAGGAAACAAAGATTTTCCCCAGCATTGTTCTCCTTCAGGTCATAGTTGGAGGCCTGCTGCCTTCAACCTAGAGGTATCATGGATCTTGAAGACTCATGTCCCTTGGTAGACTTTTCTTCCATGGATTGAAGTCATCCAAGTCCTTACCTGAAATCCTGAATTTGCTATTGGAGAAAGTGAGAAGAGCTTGGACAGGAAGGAAGCCATAAGGCTGAAGAGTGCAGGCATTGTGAGAAGGTTCTAATATTTTAAGGTCTCTATTGGTCTGAGCAAAAATCCAAGTAAGCACAACAGATTGTACCAATTCCTAATTTCATTCACATTCTGGTTCCCCTTAGATTTTTGCAAGATGCCCCACAGAGTGGCATGGAGACCGTAATTTCCCCGTTATTTAATCCCACTACTTAATGAATAAGAAGAATATTGTTATGGTTAATCAAAGTTCTGTTCAATTTCAATGAAACCTAAGTTGGCTTATTGTTCAGTCTTACAGGAGCCGAAGTCACTAATATAACACGGGTAGCTTGAACTGAATCTAGAAGGAGGGGGAATTGTGAAATAAGGAAGGGGATTTTCAAACATGAAACCCACAATTAATCTACTTTATTTTCTTGGGGGAGGAACAGGAGCAGGGAAAAAGACACGGATCTTGCCCATGGACACTTCATGTTATGAAAGCCCATACAGTGACCCCGAAGAGCTCAAGGACCGGAAGCTATTCTTAAAAAGGAGCAGTCTGATGATAGATGAAGTAGACCTGGGAGAGGGAAACTTTGGGTGTGTCAGGAAAGGAGTTTACAAAATGAGGAAGTAAGTGCACGCCACGTTTTGAGGTAAATTTCTCTTAATGGGCTGAAACAGATCTCTGCAGTTTTCAGAAGTTGCTATTCCCCATGAGAAAAATCAAATTTCATTTTGTTTGTCTTTTGTGGAGGATTCCTTAAATTTGGAGATAATTTGGGGTTGGATGTCTTAACTTGGTAGAGGGAAAGTAGCTATGGTCCTTTCTTTTGCCGCCTAGGTCCCCAAGTCTCTCTTTCCAAAATAGTAAATAGCCTCACCCACCTTAGGAGGGTATCTTTGACTTTATTTTATTTGTTTATTTATTTATTTATTTATTTATTTATTTATTTATTTATTTATTTATTTGTCAAGCATGTATGAGAAAACAAGTATGAACATGACATATAAACATATAAGTATAAACGGGTATAAGTATATACACATAATAAATGAGTACGAATTAAATGGGAACGGTAGGGCAGGGACAGTAGGCACGCTGGTGCGCTTTATGCACGCCCCCGTACAGACCTCTTAGGAAAGGAGTGAGATCCATGGTAGACAGTTTAAGGTTTAAGTTTTGGGGGGATTTGGACTTGACATGAAAGCCTGGCACAGTCCTCAAGTGGTCTACACAGGGAGTGGGATACAACACACAGTCACAACATGGGGGTGATACAATCAATATGTTCCTTTGCTTTGAGGTTCTCTTCTTGGTTTCTATTTTAAAACCCCACATTTTGTTTTTATGAAATTATGATACATCCATTCTCTTTCACAGAGTTTGCTGTGGTTACTTTTTGTTATATGTATATCTGATCAAGATAAGAGAGCAATGTCTGCAGCTATTTTCTGATGGCTGCCATTTTATTTTTCTCAGAATGCTAGAATTGTTTTGTTTCAGGGCCAGTTTGGGAAATAAAATTGCACTCATTACGGGGTGGCTGCCCAAAATAGTGGATATTTCTAGAACGAAAGAGAACAACTATGAATCACGTGTGTTTGGAGTTAATTCATTTTTTTTTGTTTGGAGTTTCAGTATATTCATTTTTTTTTGTTTGGAGTTACATTCATTTCGAAACAATTCAGGCTTCTCACATCAACTGTTCCCTACTTTTTCTATTATGGGTGGCGTCTCCATCTAGGGTTGATAAGATAGCAGTGTTCTAGTATTTGAGGGGCTCCTACAAAGACGAGGGGGTCAAACTATTTTCCAAAGCACCAAAAGGCAAGATGAGAAACAAGATAGAAATGAACTAAGGAGAGAAGCAACCCAGAACTAAGGAGAAATTTCCTAATGGTGAGAGCAATCAACCAGTGGAACAGCTTGCCTTCAGAAGTTGTGGCAGTTCCATCACTGCCTCGTAGAACGCCTCATTCAAAAGGAGACTGCCATTTGTCTGAAATGATAAAGGGTTGGACTAGAAGACCTCCGAGGTCCCTTCCAACTCTATTATTCTATGTTCTATCGATGTTCTATCTTCTCATTTTCTCTCCTTTCCAGGAAGCAAATTGACGTAGCCATCAAAATGCTAAAAGATGGCAATGGAGTGGTACAGCAGGACGAAATGATGAAGGAGGCCCAGATTATGCACCAGTTGGACAATCCTTACATTGTCCGTCTCATTGGAGTATGTCATGCCGAAGCTCTCATGCTGGTGATGGAGATGGCATCAGGTGGTCCCTTGCACAAGTTCTTGTCTTCCAAGAAGTGAGTGGATGCCATCACGTCATGCAAGAAATTTATACCTTTCCAGGATGTGGGCTTAGAACCATTTATGACCCATCAGTTCAGTATCGCTGAGATAATCACAAAGTCATTTATTCTGGAAGGGGTCTTTGATATCATCTAAGCCATTTTTTTCAGTGCCACTGTAGCTTTGAACCAGTGGTGGGATTCAAATTTTGTTACTACCAGTTCTGTGGGCATGGCTTGGTGGGTGTGGTGTGGCTTGGTGGGCGTGGCAGGGGAAGGATATTGCAAAATCCCATCCCTCCCCTCTCCTGGGGGAAGGATACTATAAAATCTCCATTCCCTCCCCACCCCACTAACCTGCTTTCCAGCTCCGTTCTCCTGTGCAAAGAAAACCCAGCCGATCAGCTGCGATTCAGGAGGCAGAGAATAGATGGGGGCGGGGCCAGTCAGAGGTGGGATTTGCGAGTTCTCCGAACTACTCAACATTTCCGCTAACTGGTCAGAACCTGCTGAATACCACCTCTGCTTCGAACAATCACTAAATGAATGGTTGTAAGTCAAGCACTACCTGTAATAATGAAATGAGTGAAGGCAGGATAATGTGGGGCTTGTAAGATAAACCTTCCATTATCTGGAATTCTCCAAATGTATTTGGTCTACAAATCCTAGAATATAACAAGTAGCCAAGTGGAGAGGTCCATAAGGAGCAGATCTACCTACCAGGAATTACAACAACAAGAAAGTTGGGATGAAGAAGAAGAAGCCATCTTTAATGAACAAATAACTTTAGTTGAGGAAGAAAAGGGAAAGAAGGGAAAGAGAATGGAGAATCCAAGACTTAAAAAAACAATCCAAAAAAAGAAAAATAAGGTGAAAAATCGATACAATGTCAGAAAGCAACAGAAAAGAGGAATACAGCAGAGAGGGGAGATTAAGAGGGTGGAGATTAAGAGATGGGGGGGGTAAAAAGGCTAGATTGGACAATAAAGGAAGGGAAAAAGGAAAGAGAAGTTACAAAGGCTTGAAACAAGATGTAAAAAAACAGATCTTTTTCAGAGACAAAGGGTAAAATACAATTTAAAAAGAGATTCTGCAAAAGCACACAAGATTGTATTGTAGTATTGTATTTGAAATAGAGTTAGAAAATTGGAATATTATATGATCTAATAAAATATTAAAGGGAATATGTAAAATGTTTAAGATTTAATGATAGAGTTTAATTTGCTTTGGATTATTGTTTCAACTATATTATAAACGTATTATTTTTTTATTTTAAAATGTATGTAGAATGTACTAAGCAGAATCAGAATGGAAATTATATATTATCTTAAGTATTAAATTTAGGGGAAAGATAGACCCCAGGAAGAGAAAGTTTAAAAAGAAGAAAGGGCTAAATGAAATAGCTTGTGTTTATAGAAGAGAGTGGAGATTAAGAGATGGGGGGGTAAAAAGACTAGGATTACAAAAGAGATTCTGCAAAAGTACATAAGATTGTATTCTTGTATCTTTATTTGAAACAATGTTAGAAAACTGGATCTTTATATGATTTAACAAAATACCAAAAAATGTATAAATGATAAAGTTTAATATACTATGGATTATTGTTTTAATTATATTATAATTTTTTTTTCTATCTTAAAATGTAGTAGGTAGTTTTAGAATGTGCTAAGCAGAATCAGAATGAGAATTATATATTATTTTAAGTGTTAAATTTAGGGGAAAGATATAAAGGCGTCATACTTCAAACAGTGATTACAGGAGAAATATTGTGTTAATAAGAAAAGAAAAATAGATGATTACAGAACGGACAAAAGATATCAGTATAATGATCTAAATTGAGATGAAATAATAT